CAGCGCTCGGTGCAGGAAGGGAGGAAACTCAGGGTCTTTGGGCAAATCTTCACCTCCTCCGTCCCCCTTTCCCCCCCACCCCAACCCCTAAATTTGCATGAGTTAACCCTAAAGCTGCTTGGAGGAGGGGGGAGGTTGTTTGCCAGGAAAGCAGGAGATGGGGAGAAAGTAGGAGCAACTGAGTGCTGGGATGGGTGATGTCAACTCAGATGATGCTGTAACCCTCTGTGCTAAGCACTGAGCATCACCACTTGGGTTTGGAGTCAGAGGAAGGAGCCCAGAGCCTATGTCAAATAAAAATCAACACGTTAAAATAAACAGAGGCAATTTTTTTGTGCTGTTAAACCAACCTGGGGGGATTGGGGAAGGGAGGAAAGGGGAGGAGAGAGTTTATGGGCAGGAGGAAAACTATGTTTACTAAGAAATAAAGAAAAGGTTGGTTGATTTTTGAGGGTTTGTAGCTGCAGCAGAAAGAGGATGTTTGTGGTGTTCCAGCATGATGTTTGGAGGAGCCAGGGAAGGTCAAATCCAGCTGAACTCCTGAGCCAGTCGCTGGGGAGTGAGAGGAGGGGAGAAAATGCAGGAGAAGGAGAAAATCTGGGACAAATGCACCTTCTCTCCTCTGGGCCTGGCAGAAAAGGGTTAAGCAAAGCCGTTGAATGCTGCAAGCCTCGTCAGGGTTGTACTATTTTTTCTAGTGCATAAGGAGAAGGGAGAGGAGGGTTGCACGGAAAAGGGAAATTTCCAAGAAAAGAGGGATCTGCGGCAAAATCTGCACCTCGGGGAATGAAGAGAGGAACCAACAGGCATAAATGGCCTGGAGCCGGCTGAAATCTTTGCCGAGGAGCTTGGGACCGAGGGGTTATTTTCCACCTGCCTCCCCTACCCGGTTCTGTAATCCTGGCTCAAAGTAGACAAGTCGAGTTGGAGCTGAAGAAGGGAGGTTAGAGGGGTTTTATTTCGTTTGGGAGGGCAAGGAAAAAAAAATAAAGGCAAATAAAATGAGAGGTTGCTTGAGCCTCTCTGGGCTGAGCATCTCCGTGGTGAGAGGCAATGCAGGATGATCCCGAGGAGCACTCGCCGGGGGAAGGGATGCTGAGCACTCGGCACCCACCGGGGACATGAGCCTCAACATCCCCACGAGAAATCCCACCCAGCGGAGCCGAATCCCCACGGGGGTGGGTCGGATGGGGGGGATTGGCTTTGGGGAGGATGGGGAGGGTGGATGCAGGTCGCATCCCGCGCTCGGGTCCTTGGAAAAGGGAGGGGGGACACAAACAGCCACCGGTGCG